TTGGCTTTCCTCCTTGCCTTGCTTGGTTGTGGCTAGTGGGTTTGTGGGTGCTTAGTGCTTTGTCTTTGCCTTTCAGAATTGAGCCGAAGTCGGTTTTAACCCATTAGTGAGTGCCAAAGCGGTAGTCGCCCGCCAAGCGCAGAGCACGCTCGCGCAGCGTTCAATTGCAAAAATTGTGGTGGTGGTGGTGGTGGTGGTGGTGGTGGTTCGCGTAGCGGTACAATTACTTTAATCATCATGCAGTGCGTTGCAGGCCGAACCAAGGTGTCCACAGGTCGCTGGTGAAAGATTGGTGGGGCTGCCTGAGTACCGACGAACCGTGCCTTCCGTTGCTGTGAGCTCTGACCGGAAAACTGCCTTGTGCTTTGGCGGCGGCTTCGTGGCCTGGTCTCTCTGGCCGGTTGGATACGAGAGACTATTGAGCCTACCCTACACTTAGCAGTAGCAACAATAGCTCGACTGCACGGTTGGGTCGTACCTTTCTCTCCTCCTCGGCTTTTACGGCTACCTCTGCGCACTCTGCGGCTTGTTGTGCCTTTCTCTGCTCTTCCGCCCTTGCGGCCCCCTCGACAATCTCTCGTGCCTTTCTCTCCTCCTCCGCCATTGCCGCTGCCTCTACAGCCTCTCGTGCCTTTCTCTCTTCCTCCGCCCTTTCCGCTGCCTCTGCTGCCTCTCGTGTCTTTCTCTCCTCCTCCGCCCTTTCGGCTGCCTCTGCAGCCTCTCGTGCCTTTCTCTCTTCCTCCGCCCTTTCCGCTGCCTCTGCGGCCTCTCGCGTCTTTCTCTCCTCCTCCGCCCTTTCGGCTGCCTCTGCAGCCTCTCGTGCCTTTCTCTCCTCCTCCGCCCTTGCGGCCTCTGCAACCTCTCGTGCCTTTCTCTCCTCCTCCGCCCTTGCGGCCTCTGCAGCCTCCCGTGCCTTTCTCTCCCTTTCGGCTGCCTCTGCAGCCTCTCGTGCCGTTCTTTTCTCCTCCACTCTTTCCGCTGCCTCTGCGGCCTCTCGTGCCTTTCTCTCCTCCTCCGCCCTTTCGGCTGCCTCTGCAGCCTCTCGTGCCTTTCTCTCTTCCTCCGCCCTTTCCGCTGCCTCTGCGGCCTCTCGTGCCTTTCTCTCCTCCTCCGCCCTTGCGGCCTCTGCAGCCTCTCGTGCCTTTCTCTCCTCCTCCGCCCTTGCGGCCTCTGCAGCCTCTCGTGCCTTTCTCTTCTCCTCAGCCCTTGCCGCTGCCTCTGCAGCCTCACGTGCCCTTCTCTGCTCTGCCACTCTTGCCTCTCGTGCCTTTTTGTTCTGCTCCTCCACCCTCGCGGCGGCCTTTGCGGCCTCGCGTGCCTTTCCGTCCTCCGCCCTTGCTGCTGCCGATGCAGTCTCCTTTGCCTTCTTCTTTCGGTGTTTATCTTCCTTCGCGGCAGACTTTGCATCCTGTCCATCCGCCGCCCTGTTCACAGTCCAGGGCTCGTCCTGTCAAAGTACCGACCGGGACAACGACCCTGTTAAACGAAGTTTCCCGAAACCAAAGACTGTCCCAAGCTAGTAACTGGCATTAACTGACAAATACTGCTGGTGCTCCTCGCCATCCTCCCGCGACGGGGACTCTTCTTCGTATGGCGCCGAAACTTCCTCGACTTCTGCGGCCTGTCGACCCAGAAAATGTGCCATGTACTTGTGCGACCCTCTCATTCGCTCATTCCTCCAAGCCAGTGAGCAACTACTGAGTTGTGCTTCGCCAGGATAGCAACCAAAGTGCGACTAAGAACATTCCAGCATGCTTGGAAAGCACCTCAACTCCCATAGCACTGTTTCTACTCCGTGCAGCAAGTCGTGGGCAGTTGGTGCTAAGACTTCACGGTCTAGATGAATTCACTAAACCTTTCAACGCGCATGGCGGCCAACCCCACATGGCGACGACCTGTACGTGTAGACACCAACCCTAGCAAATTAAGGGGCGACTTCAGCAGCAGACTCGTGCAGACTGCGGAAAACCGACGCCATGTTGTCATGGCCTCTTCCATCTCTGCTTCGTCCTCCTCCACCTCAGGCTGCTCTTCTGCTTCTTCTTTTGCCTGCAACAAGTCATTGCATTGCTCTCATGGCCCCACCGAACATGAAACGGGTCCTAGAACTTCCCTAGAGCCAATCTAGTGAATAATGCATTGTACCTCAAAGGTCACTCTAACACCAACACCCACCGCATCCCCCCTCCTTCTTCCTTCACGACGGTGCGGGTTGCCGTGCATATGTGCGCAGACGGACAGGTTCACTATGTCCGATGTCGGCAACTTAGGTGTGGCGGAGCTAGCCAAGAACCGGAAGCCATGTGCTGTTTGTGATGACAGCGTTCAGAGCTATTCCCTTGATCTTCCACAGAACCCTTGCCAGCAATCACGGATCTGCTGGTTCATGAGACATTTCCTGGATTCAGGGAAGCAAGGAGCTGTGCGAAATGTGCCATGTACTTATGCGACCCTCTCATCATGCGCATTCTTCCAGGCGAATGCGCAAGTGCATAATCATCTCTCTGTGCCGTGCTTCTGGAGGATAGCAACGAGAGTACGACGAAGAACATTCCGGAAGACTCGAAACACACCTGCACTCCCATGACAATGTTTCCACTCCATGCAGCAAATTGGTAGAGATGACTGGACTAAACCTTGGAACGCGCATAGCAGGCAACCCGAATTGATTTGCAGCGCGGGCCGATCTGTACGTGTACATCTAGACACCAACCCTAGCAAATTAAGGGGCGACTTCAGCAGCAGACTCGTGCGGACTGCGCAAAACCGACGCCATGTTGTCATCGCCTCTTCCATCTCTGCTTCGTCCTCCTCCACCTCAGGCTGCTCTTCTGCTTCTTCTTTTTCCTGCAGCAAGTCATTGCATTGATCTCATGGCCCCACCGAACATGAAACGGGTCCTAGAACTTCCCTAGAGCCAATCTAGTGAATAATGCATTGTACCTCAAAGGTCATTCTAACACCAACACCCACCGCATCCCCCCTCCTTCTTCCTTCACGACGGTGCGGGTTGCCATGCATATGAAAAGCATGTGTGCGCAGACGGACAGGTTCACTATGTCCGATGTCGGCAACTTAGGTGTGGCGGAGCTAGTCAAGAACCGGAAGCCATGTGCTGTTTGTGATGACAGCGTTCAGTGCTATTCTCTTAATCTTCCACAGAACTTTGCCAGCAATCACGGATCTGCTGGTTCATGAGACATTTCCTGGATTCAGGGAAGCAAGGAGCTGTGCGAAATGTGCCATGTACTTATGCGACCCTCTCATCATGCGCATTCTTCCAGGCGAATGCGCAAGTGCATAATCATCTCTCTGTGCCGTGCTTCTGGAGGATAGCAACGAGAGTACGACGAAGAACATTCCTGAAGACTCGAAACACACCTGCACTCCCATGACAATGTTTCCACTCCATGCAGCAAATTGGTAGAGATGACTGGACTAAACCTTGGAACGCGCAAGCAGGCAACCCGAATTGATTTGCAGCGCGGGCCGATCCGTACGTGTACATATAGACACCAGCCCTGGCAAATTAAGGGCGACTTCAGCAGCAGACTCGTGCGGACTGCGCAAAACCGACGCCATGTTGTCATCGCCTCTTCCATCTCTGCTTCGTCCTCCTCCACCTCAGGCTGCTCTTCTGCTTCTTCTTTTTCCTGCAACAAGTCATTGCATTGCTCTCATGGCCCCACCGAACATGAAACGGGTCCTAGAACTTCCCTTCAAGGCCAATCTAGTGAATAATGCATTGTACCTCAAAGGTCATTCTAACACCAACACCCACCGCATCCCCCCCTCCTTCTTCCTTCACGACGGTGCGGGTTGCCGTGCATATGAAAAGCATGTGTGCGCAGACGGACAGGTTCACTATGTCCGATGTCGGCAACTTAGGTGTGGCGGAGCTAGTCAAGAGCCGGAAGCCATGCGCTGTTTGTGATGCCAGCGTTCAGTGCTATTTCCATAATCTTCCACGGGACTTTGCCAGCAATCACGGATCTGCTTGTTCGTGGGATATTTCCTGGGTTCAAGGAAACAAGGAAATGTGCCATGTACTTATGCGAACCTCTCATTATGCGCATCCTGCCAGGCGAATGCGCAAGTGCATCATCATCAGAGCCGTGCTTCTGGAGGATAGCAACGAGAGTACGACGAAGAAAATTCCGGAAGACTCGAAACACACCTGCAATCCCATGGCAATGTTTCCTCTCCATGCAGCAACTTGGTAGAGATGACTGGACTCAACCTTGGAACGCGCATAGCGGGCAACCCGCATTGATTTGCAACGCGGGCCGATCCGTACGTGTACATATAGACACCAGCCCTAGCAAATTAAGCAGCGACTTCAGCAGCAGACTCGTGCAGACTGCGCACAACCGACGCCATGTTGTCGTCGCCTCTTCCATCTCTGCTTCGTCCTCCTCCACCTCAGGCTGCTCTTCTGCTTCTTCTTTTTCCTGCAACAAGTCATTGCGTTGCTGTCATGGCCCCACCGAACATGAAACGGGTCCTAGAACTTCCCTAGAAGGCCAGTACAGTGAATAATGCACTGTATACTAACACCAACACCCACCGCCTCCCCCTCTTTCTTCCTTATCCGCGGGCCTGTTGGAGGGATTGAACTGGGCAGGGTGGACGATTGCGAATATTTATGGAATTAAATATGCGGAGAGTATAAAACAGATACGTCATACTACCTCTGAGCGGCTGCCGGGTGGCATGTTAAAATCCTTACCGTAACACCAACACCCACCGCCTCCACCGCATTATTCCTTCACGACGGTGTGGGTTGCCATGCATGTTGAAAGCATGCGTGCAAACAGACGGACAGGTTCAATCGAACACGCACGGAAGGAGTGCATCATTCGCCCCTGTAGCCGGATCCCCTCCGGGAACTCAAGTGCGCACAGCATTGCGCAAATATAGTATTCACACCAAGAGCCCCGTCCATTGGCATTTGCAAGAGATCATGCCGTTTGGAGGAAGCAGACACACTGCTTTGATCTGCTTTGACCGAGGGTGGCAAAAGCGGAGGACGATTAGAATTTAGACTGGATCGCGCTGATAGCATAAACCGCCGACAGGGTTGTCATTTTCGGGACGTAGACGGCACGTGTGTTACAACTTACAATGGACCGCGCCGGCCCCCAGTGGCGTGACCGGTGCTGTAAGAGTATCAGAGATATTCGGACAGGACTGGACAGCTCGGTAGGAGAGATATCAGAGATAGGACAATATCATTTGGCATGTCAGGCACCTCCGCTGAAAAACCCTTCGCCACTTTTTAGGGAACTACAGCAGCAACTAAATAGCACACACGAGCACGCCCACGATGCTCCCCTAAGGCCCAAGGCTTAGGTCTACAAGTACGTCTCAATTTATCTTCGGCCGAGGAAGGTTCAAAGCGGGTAAGCACACTCTCTCTCGAGGAATGTGACGGAACGCCTGACCGCAATGGATCTCTCCTGAGGTCAAGAACCGGCTGCCATCTGCTTGCTGCGATCTTACAAGCCCGGAATCTTCCAGCAGTCTTTGCAAGCAATCACGGATCCGCTTGCTGAAGGGACGATTTGGCGACGAAGAGGACCAAGAAGATGTGCGTGCGATGTACTTGTGCGACCCCATCATTGCGCGCATTCCCGACAAGCACCCCGACCACTTCTGGGGTGGACGAACACCTTGGAGTGCGCATTGCGGCCGGACCCCATTGATGTGCAAGACCGGGCGACTTGAGCAGCTTACTCGTAGAGACTGCACAAAACCGATGCCATGGCTGCCATCGCCTCTTCCATCTCTGCTTCGTCCTCCTCCACCTCAGCCTTCTCTTCTGCTTGTTCTCTGGCCTGCAACATTGCATTGCATTGCTCTGATGGCCACACGGAACATGAAACGGGTCCTAGAAGTTCCTTAGGCCGGTCTAGCGAGCAGTGCACCGTACCTCAAAGGGCAACACAAACGCTAACACCCTCGGCCTCCTCTCCGGCCTTGTTCATGACGAAGCTTGTTGCCGTGCATGTTGAAACCACGTTTTCTGCTCCCGTAAGGCCAGGCGAAGGCGCAAGTGCGTAATCATCCCTCTGAGTCGCGATTCTGGAGGATAGTAACGAGACTACAGTACGACGAAGAACATTCCAGAAGACTCGAAACACACCTGCACTCCCATGGCAATGTTTCCTCTCCATGCAGCAACTTGGTAGAGATGACTGGACTCAACCTTGGAACGCGCATAGCGGGCAACCTGCATTCATTTGCAATGCGGGCCGATCCGTACGTGTACATATAGACACCAGCCCTAGCAAATTAAGCAGCGACTTCAGCAGCAGACTCGTGCAGACTGCCCAAAACCGACGCCATGTTGTCATCGCCTCTTCCATCTCTGCTTCGTCCTCCTCCACCTCAGGCTGCTCTTCTGCTTCTTCTTTTTCCTGCAACAAGTCATTGCACTGCTCTCATGGCCCCACCGAACATGAAACGGGTCCTAGAACTTCCCTTCAAGGCCAATCTGGGCCAGTCTGTTGTGCAGTGCAACATGTCCAACTGTCCAACTATATGTCAAAGACCAACGCCCTCCGTTCATAACGCTGCTTTGATCGCCATGCATGCTGAAAACATGCATGCACAATACGGGCCACATCCACTCGCGCACTCAAGGGTCCCGGTGTATCGTGCTTTTTGCAGTGCTTGCTTTCGCCGATAAGGCTTCGGCACGGTTCGATGCCAGTCATGGACACCCTGTTTGTCGCGCACCACTTGCCACAGCACTTGCCTTCGACAGTACCCGTCATCCCCTTGAAACTCAACTATTTCCGGCACTCGTCCTCAGCAGCACAACCTCAAGCTCAAACCCGAGACCCGCATGCAATCGTGCGGACCTCATCGGGCATTTCACTGGCTGGCTCACCCTCGGCAATGGGGCCGATAGGGGCTGCTTCGGCCTGGGAGGCGGTTCTAAGGGTTTGGTGTTCAAGGTCTGGGGCTTGAGGCTGCTTGAGGCATTGCAGGAACCCGACAAACCCGCAAGCTTCTAAACGCAAACATATGACGTCCTGCAGGGAAGGCTTTCAATCGGCGAGGAATTGCATGTTGGCGGTGGGCGATTGGGAACCCACTAATCCCCCCAAGGAATGCTTTTTATAATTATTAATCCTTCAAAACGAAGTTGATACTATAATTCCATACAGTTTATTTTAGGGACACCTGAGGAAGAGCGGAGCATAATGCTGTACACTAGCATAAATGATCATCCCGCCACCTCCCCTGCACCTACCGTTACAAGGGCTAGGGAGAAGGCACTGCACACAGCACTCGCTAGCAGACACTCCGACGGACCGAATCCCGGGTAGCCCGGAGAAGGTCTCTAGCGTTCTTCGCTAGCCAATCTCCAGGGTGGGACGGGTGGGCTCTTCAAAATAGCCTCCCGTTAGGAGGCCTTAATAGCCAAATGGCCACGGCCATTCGTAGACCTCAAGTAGCAAACCCTTTCGACGTTTGCTCTAGCAAAAAACCTTCGATGTTTTCAAGTAAGATCTTTGTGTGCTAGCATATACTGTCGTACCACGGGCACGATTGCGTACACTAGCATAAATGATCATCCCGCCACCTCCCCTGCACCTACCGTTACAAGGGCTAGCGAGAAGGCACTGCACACAGCACTCGCTAGCAGACACTCCGACGGACCGAATCCCAGGTAGCCCGGAGAAGGTCTCTAGCGTTCTTCGCTAGCCAATCTCCTTGCGTAGCCGATCGGGCTACCAGGCTCCTAGCTTTCTGACCTTTCGGGAAAAGCGCGGTGGCTTAGCCACCCTTTCCCTCTTCCGCAACTCCTAGCTCCTCGTAGTAGCTAGCCGAGTGCTCCAGAAGTCGGCCCAGGATTCTCCACACTAGCGGCACTAGCGACGAACCTTCTAGCTTGACCCGAAATTTGGGGTCAAAGCTATCGAAGTCTTCATTCGTCAAGTCGTCTGCTAGCTGGTTAAGGTCTCTCCGAACCGGCTGTCTCCATTAGCACCAAGGTCGATGGGAACTTCGTCGTCATCGCCTTCTTTAGCAGTGCTTCATTTGATTTGTTATCGGTGTAGCCACGAATAGCTACCCGGGAGGTCTTCTTCTTCTGGTGCTCTCCGGCACCCATAGCTTCACAGCAACTAGCATGGCCAGAAGCTCGAGGGCGGCTATGACCTTGTTCGGGTCACCCTCAGCGAAGGCCCAGGGTGCCCAGCCGTTCTCAAGTTCTAGCGAGAACCAGGGCCCCTGCCAATCGGGCGCTAGCTCCAAGGAGCCTCCTATCCAGGCCCTTCCGGCCTCCGCCTTAGCATCGGTGAAGAAGCTCAGAGGAGCCCCTCCATCGACTAGCGAGGCAGGTCTCTGCAACCTTCCGCCTTCCGATAGCCGCTCGGCGAGCCAGTGCAAAAGCACCCTCAGCATCGTCGGCACCGATAGCACGCCTTCCTTGGTTTGGACTGCAGAGGCCCAGGCGTGTAGCGGTCCAAGGAACGGACGCTCCCAATCGAGAGCTATCGCGGCGAAACCCAGGCGGCCGAGGCCCTGGGAGAACTCCGTAGCTGTGACACGGCCCTTCTCGGCTTTGTCTTTTAGCCAGTCGACCAGCCACGTGGCCCTCTTCTTCGAGAGACCTAGCTGGTGGTTCGGGTAGTCTGTCTCCATGCCTAGCCACTCCACCCGAAAACCGCCCCGGGTCTTCGGCCACTTGAAGGGGTTGCCGAGTGCAGCCAAGAAGAGGTAGCTCAGGGGAATCCCCTGTCGACCTTCAGCGGTCCTGCCTAGCGATTCCAGATCATCTGCGTACAGGAGCATGTCTAGCGGGAACCGAGGCCCTAGCAGGTGGTACGTTAGCCTGACCCCACAGGCCGCGATCCTCGTCCACCAGTAGCTAGCACACGAGAGGCCGAAGGTCCCCACCAAGTTCACATAGACATTCTGGCTATCGGGGTGCCCCGGGACCGTCTCCTCAGTGTCTAGCCGGCACCCCATGAAACCATGTTCCGATGCCTGGTGCTTGTAGCGCCGGTGGCCCCACCACGGAGAAGGCCACCGTCTCCTCCTCTATCATCTCCCTTAGCAGCTGTTTCTTTTCTCTAGCACCGGGAGCTCGGATCTTATCTCTGCAGCGGATCCTGTGGTTCACCCGGACGCCATGAGTAGCGTCGTGGATGGGATGATCCTCTTTTTGCCCTTTAGCTCGTCCTCCACGATGACGGCCAGGCTAGCGATGGCGGAGTCCTCCCCATAGCGCTCCTTAAACTCGCGGAGGGTCATCCTAGCCATGAGTCCCTCTTCCACATCCTCCTCAAACTTCTCCCTAGCAAAGTCCAGGTGCTCTTGGACCGAGGAGTAGTTGGGGGACCCAAGCTAGCGCCGCCTCCCAGGGTGCGTTCTCTGGTCTGCTCCTCGAAGACGTGGGGGGTCCTCGGTAGCGGTTCGAGGATCCCTAGCGGCAACCCTTTCTCGGCTCTCCGGAGGAAGTCCCTGTCCGGGTCGTCGGCTGCCTGTAGCACCTCAAGTAGAGCGGCTGCCCCTCGGCCCTGTGTAGCAGCTCGGGCTCTCCCAACTCCTGAGCTTCCAACCACGACTTCCAAAGTTCGCGTAGCTGCGCTTGTAGCTCCTCGTCCTTAGCGAGGGCGCACCCATGGTCGCCTCCTGTAGCCATCCGGAAGGCCTCGCGCTCTAGCCTTCTGGAAGAGCAAGTCCAGAGTTTTCTGTCGTAGCCAATCCCAGGTGGGGCCGGAGGCTAGCGATCTTCTGTCATGGCCAAATCCATGACCAGTCTCTCCAGCCGGGCGATCATGTAAGCAGGATAGCGGGGCGCCCTCTTAGTAAGAGGTGCACCCTCCGATAGCTCCTCGACGATCCTATCCTTTGCAGCCCAGGCCAGCCTCCCAGTGGTAGCTCTCCCCTCTACAGGGAACTCAGCTACCCCTTCCATCCAGGTAACTGCTTTCATTAGCGCTTCGGGAACCGTCCTCCCGCAAGGCTCGTCACGGCGACTTAGCAGATAGTCCACCAAATCTGCGGGACGACCGGGAGGTAGCCGTAACTTGGCTTCGCCTAGCCAGAGTCTCCATTGCCGGTAGTAGCTAAGATAGCGCTTCAAGGTACCAGAACGGGTCCTTCCCACCAGCAAGTTAGCGGCCCTGTCTGGGTCCAGACTCCCCTGAAGCTTAACCAGAACAGGTGCGTCAATATCGCGTAGCTCCTGCTTCAGCTTCGCCACCCATAGCTCGAGTAGCCTTTCTTCCCGCGCCTGGCTGATGAATCCATCCACCAGTAGCTTACGGTTCCTTTCCCCTGGCGGGGGCCGTGGGTCAGGAATCATAGCCAAGACTGGCTCCTTGACCTTTAGCGGGGGGGACAGCTGCTGCCATTCCAAGTCCCCCGCGAAGACCCCACTCGCCCGTTGAAACAGGCGGGCCTCTCTCTTAGCATCCTGTACCCACTCCAGAACCGCGTCCCGTAGGTAGCCGGGGCAGGTGACCCCTAGCTCTTCGCAGATCTGCCGCGCAATAGCTTCGCAGTCATCCAGAGGCTGAGCTGCTAGTTCTAGCATGCCCATCCCCTGATCTGTCAGGAGATTGAAGGCTCTGTCTAACAGTTCGTGATCCACATCTCTCTCACGAACCGGGACTAGCTCATCATGTCCCAGGGATTCCAAATTATCCCCTTCTAGCAAAGCTCCTCCGGCATCTGACTGTCCTTCGGGGCTACTTGCAAATAGCTCCGTTGGTCTTCCAATAGCGTCGGTGTCTTCGCCCGACATGGCAGCAAAGCGAGGCTGTTAACCTCGTTCCCCTTCCCCTAGCTCTTCAAAATAGCCTCCCGTTAGGAGGCCTTAATAGCCAAATGGCCACGGCCATTCGTAGACCTCAAGTAGCAAACCCCTTCGACGTTTGCTCTAGCAAAACACCTTCGATGTTTTCAAGTAAGATCTTTGTGTGCTAGCACACACTGTCGTACCACGGGCACGATTGCATTTTGGCCCCTAAGCCCGAAACCCCTTTATCGACGCTCAGGCGTAAATCCCGAAACCCCGAAAATTTAGGGCTCTCGTTCCGGCACATGCTTGAAGTTGCCAGTATGGTAACTTCAACTGAGTTTCACCTCCCTGTGAACTCCGGCCTGCGACTTCGCCTTGTCCGTGTCCTCTTTTTCCTCCCCTATGGCCAGTCCTTTACAGAGCATGAGAGTGTAGGTTTTGAAATGGTAGAGGTCTAGTGATTGCTACAGATTGGGTCTAGCGACTGTTCGTTTTGTATGGGCTTGTAGGAACTTTGATGTTGACGGGTTAAAGGAATTTATCAAGGCTTTCGGATCTAGGAATAATTGCACCTCCTTCGACTCTTCGGATCTTGCCTGGGTAAGCTCTGCATAGAAAGCCCTGTGTGAAGTGGCCTCTAGATACGGGCTTTAGTGAGTCTACACGAAATGGAGCCTTTTCAACATTGGTGAGTTATTTTGGGTTTCATTGCGGAGATACTAGTACTAAAAAACCCATGTGACACATTGACATAATTCCACGGATCCTTCGAAACGCAGGTTATGGTAGCATAAGGCTTGGCTTGAAGCCGGGCTGTGGGCTGAGAGACGCAAGCAGCGTGCGGTTTCCAGCAAATAAACTTAGACCCCGAAACCCCAAACCCGGAGTCCTTCACTGATGGCAGGCGCATTTGCGAGCATGCTCTTCTCCTTGTTTTGCAGTGCCTTCACAGAAGACGCTGAGGGAGGGTTCATGGGTTGGTGTTTGTCCGTGCTTGTTCTGGAGAGAAAATCACGGGTACATGATTTCGGGGCAAGCACTCGCGGGTTGACAGGTTCATGTTCGCCCGCACTTTTCCCATACTAGGTAAACATCGCAGGTTCTCCCCCCAAACTCGAAACCCCAAAGTAGCATGACCAGTTCCGTGGAGGGAGTTGAGGGTTCGCTTGATTGTGGTCACCTGCACCTTTCCTAGATGAGTCGCACGTTTACCATCTCGGTGCAGGGAGTTTACTGTTCGCCTGCACTTTTCCTAATGGGCTCCCTATTCCGCGAATTTATTTTAAGGCTACGGCTCAGGGGTCCGTGGTCGTCCGCACTTTTCCGACTGCGACCTGCATTTTGGTGGGAGTTGAGGTGGGCTTCATTTCGGTTTCAGCGAGCAGTTGGGGGTTCGCGGGTTTGTGTTCACCCGCACTTCTTCCTAGCAAAAACTCACAAGTTCTCACGAGAGGGCGTTCGAAAGCACTTTTTCCAGCTTCTCCTAGGTCAGTATGAAGTGGTGAACTCTCCTCCACGGCTTCTCGGCTGGTGCACCCTTGACTCTGTTGCTGAGGGTTTCGCGTCCGGGGCTTCAATGACCGCAACGTGAGCAAGGCCAGCGCCGTCTCCGACCCCCAAACCAGAACCTTTAGCCCCAAACAGCCTCAGACCTTCTACAAGTAGTAAGTTTATCATCCCTGTGAGAAGCAGCACCTGAGCTTTCTTTTCGGTGCTTTGGGTGTTATAGTCTATTTCGTCGAGGCTTTAGGGTTTGGGTTTCGGGTGCGCAAACAACGGCGCCGCCCTGGCCTTCATGGAGAGATGGAAGCGGATCTGGCTTTTCACAGCTTCGTCTAGCTCCGTCTGGGTAGACGCATGATTCCATATTTCCAGCATGATACCAAGAAAGTTATCCTTCAGAGCCTTGTCGACATCGAAGAATGTCCCAAGAAGGGTGGCTTTCCATGGTGCGAATCCAATCTCCAGGACAACCATGGACCGATCGAAAAGCTTCACCAGCTCGTCGACCCCTGCTGCTTTGCAAAGAGCTTCCGCACTGGCTTCGAGCACCTTCAGGCACGATTCTCCTATTTCGACAGTGAGGAAAGGATGCGGTCGATTCAAGGCCCAGGGCCTGCGGTATGGAAACCTCGCATGAGACCAGACGCTGCTCGAACATCACCTGCCAGAGCGGATCAAACCCATCTGGCAGCTTGATTTGTCTGAGTCTTGCAAAATTCGGAAAGCTGCGGAAGATTAACTGCCAATGCGCTGACCATTCGTGTCACCCTGTCGTTGGTCTAGAACCTGTAAAACAAAGGCACGGTGACCAAGTTTCGGAGTACGGGCTCCAGAAAGCGCAAGGGACGTGTGCGCGCGTGGCTGTAGAAACGGGAACTGGCGTCCGCAATTTAAAGTCATCTATCCTGGAGCGGCGCGAGATCGCAGCAGTCTTTTCGCATTGGGCGCAGAGTGACATCCAAGTGTGCTCGTGGCGTGAGATTGCAGCACAGTCTGTTTACATGCACCTGTCTCTTTGCGCAGGTCCATGCAAGTGCGCACTCGGCGCGAGAACGCACGGAGGGATCGAAATTCAAGTGTACTCGCGCACAGAACACTCAGCAGTTTCGCTGATGTAGCTTAATAACTTAATATACAATATACATGTTCATATGTGTCGGGCGCAGACATATTCACATGTTTTCGCGCACGGATACATGTCTGTGTGCGCTGCCGCAGCACACGGAGCTGCATGTGTGTGTGTGTGTGCACACGGAGAGAGATCGAAGTGTGCATCGCTGGGAAGTTGCATGTGCAACGTTTCGTTGAACTGCGAACACAGCAACCTATCGAATTCCCGCAATGTCCTTGCGCACGGAGGAAGATTAGGGCAATGTCTCTGACTCGTTGCTGGGTACTGTCCGCATATACATGTTTCTGAGCGCACACAGGTCGAGACGCCCGTTGAACTGTGCAGCCCATGGACAAATTCCAGCACCCCCAGGTACCAATTTCATGGAGGCCTTATGATCCTTTGTGGGTATAAAGGCTACCATACAGAACAGTTCGGGGTCTAGTTTGTTCTTGGGAGGAATGGGGCAGGACGGCGGGGAGGAGGCCCTGGCAGAGAATTGGAGGCACTGAGGTGTTGTTGGATTTGAGTTGGTCGCTGAGTTTCTAAAGCTCGGCCTGCGCGGGAACTTGACCGCCCGCCGGGGCAGCGGCAGCCTGCTACGAGACATGAGGGATCTCATGTCAGACAATGTTGTAAGTCTTTGGAAGTGAAGAAGACAAAAGCCATTCCACGCTGTTTAGAAGAAGAAAGAGAAGAGAAGAGAGAGAGAGTGAGAGAGGTGACTTCTTGGATCATTAGCCTGAGTCCAAGCTCGGCCTCTGCTGGGCCTTGGCTTGACTGGCTTGATTCCTGGCGGTCCGGAGGTCTCGGTGAGGTCTCTGTTGCAGTGTCAGAAAAACGCTATCCGACCTCTTCGGAGTCATATTGTGCAGGAACAAGCCTGTGCAGGGGAAACGGAGCGCGTGGCGGTTCATCCAGCTCTCCCACTTCTGTGACAACATGTGCCCTTCCTCCGCTGTGGTGCCATGCTGCGGCATGTCCCGCTGCAAGCAGCTTGAGAGAAAAACATCAGGGGCATCCAGTGAATGCTTAATGCCGTAGTGTGCACTGAGCCTTTGTGAATCTCGTTCTCACTCTCGCAGCGAATCAATGTCGCTTTCGAGTCTGCCTTCCCCTCGGACAGCGTAGAATGCAGACGCGATTTTGCAAAGCAGACTGGCTCACCTCTCCATGCAAGCGCCGCCAGAAAAGCAGCACATCAACATGTCCGCATGCCGCCCCACGACAGCATGACAACACAAGGGGACTTCAAGGCATCAAAGGATCATGGGAAGCTCTACGTTGCACACCTTGTTTCGAATCATAACTACCGCCACGGCTCGACATGCCGCGCACATGCAGCCGGTGCATGTGAAGCAGCTTACCCTGGAGCAGCTGCGACTCCAAGCCGCTAAGCTATGCGTAGATGTGAGACGTTGCTTTAAACTCGCCATCGAAATCGCTGTCGACGCCAGCGACCTGCATTCAGCTGATTTCACCGAAGCCCAGGTGCCTCCGCCAAAAAACGAATGATGTTACCTGGAAGTCCGCTGGATAAGGCAGTGACACACTGATTCATTGCAGCCACCCAGGCAAATTAGATGGAGTCGTCCATGCAAAACCTAACTGCTTCCAGTGAGTCACCTTCTGATCTGAAGTGTGAAACACCTTCTGCTGTGCTTTGAGAGGAGCAAGACGTGTCTCTTAAGCCAAATGGAACCTAAAGGATCGCAAGTTCTGATACGAAAGCGTCTCGACGAAGCAACAGTCGGCTCTCGAGCAGAGTCTTGTCTCCGTTGTGAAAACCCAAACACCGAATACCCCGTTCAGTAGCATTCACTGGCGTACTGGTGTTCTGGAGCGCCGTGATCTCCGGCTGTCCCGATCCAAGCCTGGTACCGGAGCAGAGGCCCAGAGGCCGAGATAGTCAGAGTCAGGGCGCTCCAGGCCTTGCATCCTAGAAGAGAATTGCTTCTGTGCTCGAAGGGCTGCTTGATATGCACGTGTGTTCTCCGAGTTGTACCTGTGCACGTGGCAGACGTGGAACCCTCTAATGAAGGTATTGATTCAATTAGAAGCACAGACGTCGTTCCCTGTAATGGTATGAGGGAGGGCGAACCGAAAAAGAGCTCAGATTTTTTTATATTTTTTATGAAGTGAAACAAATGAACGAAGAATGAAGAGAGATGCATGTTCGTTTAATGTCAAGAATCTGGGTATTTTTCCATTTCGCTTCACGTTCATGCTTCCTTTCGCTCGTTCCTCCCTCTCATTACATTATAAAGCGCAGGGAACTTAGTAGTGAGCGCATCCTTTTGTTGAAAAATGCAAGTGAGCCCACGCGATTCTACTGGAAAGAAGCACGAACTTGATACCGAAACCAGGAACAACAATATGATTAAGGGCTCCAAGTTCCGAGATGTGCGGTGATTTCTTTTGTTGTCCGTTTAATATTAATGAAGATCGCGAGGAACGCGCCGCTCTTTCATTTCTTTTCAAAAACAGCAGACAACAGGAACGACCGGAGCCCGATATCTAATGTCAAAAGAGCCACATGAAAGTAGTGAAAGGAGTGCACGCAAGCACCAGGAAACTGATGTAATCCCCAGAAGACCTAGAGCTAATGGTTAGTCTATCACGCAGGACCTGTGAACTTATGGCATATCCTGAAGCAGCTCCGACAGCTTCAACACGGCGCACTTGAAAGCATTTGCCCACACCATGTTGACGTCGTTGACAAACTTGCCAAGATCGTTGTACCTGTCTGATTCCAAAGTGAATCCGCGCAGGGCGAGTGACAATGTCTGTCTCTCCTCGCCTATTGGCATCCAAGTTGGACATCACGCTGCCCAAATCCATCGGCTGGTTCGGCTTGATCTTATCCAGATAATCTGGATACCTGTGTGCAGGCTTGCAGTTCGCTGCTTTGTGCCCCACGTGCAGCTGAATCCCGTGGCGCCAACAGTGGCAAGCGGCAAGAGACCTGCTTTTTACGCTTGCTGTACAATTGAAACATTCATCTCCTTTACGCGATTGCCGCTTCGGGGCCAAGCACGGCTCCCTGCAGTCCTGTGGACATCCTACACAATTGGATCAACAAGCCACAATCGCGAAGACAGACCTGAGGCATGTAAAAGGCTTCTACCCTCCTCATCACGAGTGCTTTAATCACCACATGGATGGTGAGGGCGAGGGCAGCCTATGTCTCGCCGGGCCAGTCGCATGCAAATGCACATGCAAACGCCTGGTCTCTGGACTGCTGGGCGAAGTGCTGCACAGCACAAACAAATTCACTAATTGAAAATATATGGGTGCAAGTACACCAATGCTATAAACATCGAGCGAAGCACGGATAAGTTTGAGGACTGCCGGGTAGGCGACGCCTGGGGCTCTTGCCCAGGGCCCGGGGCAGCACAAAATTTGCAGACCACCTGACAGGATGGAAGCGCCTGCTGGGATCAAGCAGACGTCTAACGCGTGGAACAGCTCGGACTCGCAGTCGGATGTGCGCTCAACAGCCACACTCTGTCACAGTTCTCATGCTGTCACATTGGCCAGCAAGTTTAAGTAGTTGTCCGTCCGGTGCTCGTCAACTCCCTCAGCCAGGCTGCCATCTCGCTCTTCGACCTGCGCCCAAGTTAGAGGTGCCGACATCCAGTGCCTAGCCAAGATATTATGGCACTGCACATGCGAGCTGGCTCGCCTCTGGGCCTACCAGCAAGTCACCTTCACTGGTCAAAAGGCAGAGCTTTGCTGCATGGCGATAGCCTGGTACGAGGCTGACTATCACGGTCCTGACTGTAGAGTTTCGCTACTTTGACAGGCTCCACTGCGTCACTGAGCACGAGACCACCTTGCATCGAGGGAGCTGTCGGCACTGCATCGCAGTCATTCGCCAATCGCACCGCGCAGCATTTGCCACGACCTCGATGGAATGAACGCGCATATGAGGGGTCAGCACCGCCAACAACAAGGCTTTGTCACTCTGCACACAATATTTTGAGATCCCGAAGGTTCATACCTTGCCAGTGCGGGCTTCGGCGGCGATGACATGTTCGCACCGGGCACTGTCGAACATATCCCGACCCATGCATTGACAATTTGATAGACTCTCAAGGTAGGGTTCACTGCATTTCTCCCTGATGCTAGGCATGCCATGTCGCGCCCAAAACTTTACAGTATCGCATGCCTTGCCGAACCGCGATGGCAAGTAATCAAAGCTTGAATGCCACAACTACATGGAAGCACCTAAGACGTAAGGTGACCGTGTGTGGTGCGCAAGGTATTGAAGATAAATGCTTCACGCACATCAGGCGCTGTACCCATACAAAAGTCGGCGTTTCCCAAACCCGTTAAACGTCAGCCAACACATCCCAAAACGAGCAACGGTAACATGCCCTGGGTGATTTGGACAGACCGAGATGGAAACACAGCTTGAAATGTGCAAATGGGCGGCTCCGAAACCAAAACTCCAGATGTTTGGGCTACGTTAATGTTTGTTGGAAAAGCCGTAATGGTCAAAAGACATTGAAAGAGCACACTTGATGAGTTCGCCTGACCCGAAAACTCAGACAAAATGCCTATGAAGTTCAGCAATTCTTGCCATGTGGCAGGGCTGCTTACAAGCTCGAATCTGCTGAACACTACCAACTACTGCTCGTATTGCTGCTGCCTCAGGTCTACCCCTAGCCTAGCTAGACTTGTGCCTATCTTTAGGCTAACTCTAGCCCCACCATGCCCCACCAGCCCTTACCCTTATCCAGCCCACTTTCCCAGGTTCTTCTGATTCCCGAGCAGAAAGCATCCAACAGATACGGCTCCAGTCTGAAATCCGACTTGGAGCCCGACGTCGCAGTGCACCGACCTGTTTGTCCATCCAAGCCGCGAAGATCTCATCCCCGAAGCGAGGCTGGCCGATGCTGACGAACAGTATTCGGTGCCTCATTCGCAGATTGTCAGCATGCAAATCGCTCCGTGTGCGGACTAAGGTAAGACTAGGCCCATCCTTTTCGGAAGTCGATGTGAAGACGCTCAGCTTGTCACCGAAGCTTCGAGCTTGCAGTGAACTGATAAGGGAGCGTCTCAAAACAGTATGGGCAGCTCACCATGGGGCTAATGCGATAGCTCGGGTTCTGCACTGGACAACCCACAAGATCTAAAATGCATACCATTGCTTCGCTTCATGCCGGCAAGCCAGAACCCTGGGGATTTGGTCACCTGAACGTTTACCGATATGCTTAACAGAACCTGTAAAAAGCGTGCACAAAATCAGCTTGGGCGCGGAGATGCGGCAAAGTTGAATGCCTGCAACAAGTAGCCTCGTCGACAGGGTAGCACGAAGATCGTACAAAGTTATGAACTAATGCGTATGAGCACAAGCCGAACCGTTGCGCATGAGCTGCGTACTCACGGCAAAAATTATCCGGACTAGGGTCGCGGTGCAGACGTGCAGCCAAGTGCTCCCATTGCAATGGCTCCCCCGATGCTGTGTCCAACCTTGCAAATGCAGTCATCTTCAAGTGCTCTCTTGCAGACTCTGTGAGTTGAGATCATTCCGGCGCTGTCCCAATGGCCTTCTGCGTCCGTGTTTAGGGTGCAGCCCACGAACGTTCAAATCGACAGATGCACGGCTGCCAGAGTTGAGTTTGTGTGCATCGCGAGTGTTTGTGTTATTATGTTATTTTGTGTTGAGTGATGCATGCTTGATGCATGCCGATGTCTTGACCGCGACCGTGGTCCCCGACGAAATGGCTCTTTGGCTTTCGAGTGGGGCGAGGTTGATAAGGCATCAGGAACAGTGATAAACCATTGCAGCGGAAAGGGATGCTCTTCTTCGACAGGAGATGCATCGCGACATCAACAATTGCAGATCCATGACTGCAGTCTTGCATCATGATCATACTGGCTAGTTCGCATGACTCGGGTGCTTCAGTGGAAGTGGGCCGCTGTGCACGGAATCCATGTAATTAACCCGAACCATAGCATGCCCTACCTCCCGATGCACTAGTTGGGGCGACATGGACTGGGAAGGCCCAAAACAAAAGCAGGGGTCATGAGCCTTGGAGAGTAGAGAATCTGGGGGCCGTGCACCGCCCATGATGCACGACTACAATGACCAGTCACCAAGTCTCTTTAAGAAGAACCCCACATGTAGCGACGGCTGTCCGATGTGTTCAGCAACATCGCCCTTCCTCCATCGTCTAGCAGGTTTCTCGGAGGTACCGGCACCGAGCTCCAATCTCTGATTGGAATAGTGTACAGAAGAACTGACCAGGACCCTACGAAGTGTCCGAGCGTCGTCCATCCCTGAGTGTGCGTTCTCGAGTGGTCGGAGCCATCAAAATATCATTGGCAATACGTTGGCAGTAGGCTGCCTTTGGACAACCCAAGACTTTGGCCTCTGACAGTTACAGAGGAATGCCTTCGACTATCCTGATCGAAAACGACCTCACCTCCAGAAACCAACGATAAGGACATGAGGACCTGCCTTTTGATATCTACACGCAATGTTTCCAACAGAATATAACAGAATCATTTGCCTGTAAGTCGAAGCTATAACTCATTCAGTGCGACAGTCCTGCACATCCCGCCGCACAATGTTCGGTTGCACTCCCTAGGGGTGCAGCGACACCAATCAAAGTGCGAACTTGTTCAACCACATCAATGTATCACTGCATAACTAGGCTTTCCGCTCCTGCTGGCATCACACTTGCCCTCCAAAACACGAAAACAGGGATTCGTTCGCGCAATACCTGTTCAAGCTACAGCTTACGAGATGCCCAGTACAGTATCTTCTCGCTGCGACCTCCCTCCGTCACGTTGGGTCATTTGCACCGCTGCCGGTTAGGTGTGGTAACCTTCTCAGGATGATAGTATAAGGTCCAGAATGAACAGCAGCTTCGAGTACTCGTACTTGGGGGTCGCTGCGCAGATCCAAACTGTCATGCTTTTGGGTACGCAGAGAGTCGCCAAGCAGAAAGCAATACGAAAAAATGCCCAACACAATCCAACACCGCGGATACTGTACGATACTGTTAGCTCTTAGCTGCTGGGATCCTGTGTGCAGATGCAGTAACTTGTTGCGACGCTGGGTCGCTTCCTCCAGCAGCACAAACTCATGAAGCGCATGTCTGGTAAAATCTGTTGAGGCATCTCGTCTGTGAAGGGTGCAGTAAGTCGCAACAAGTCATAGAGTAGCTGCTGCAGGTTGCAATAAAGCAAGATGAACCACGATGCGATCAACTGGCATCTTGGCTGCTGTAGGGTCAAACGAACCCAAACATCATCAGCATCATTGGCTCCTCGTTGCTCCTGGAAGTTTGAATGCCTCTTGTTCGCATTCAATTGAACACTCAGGCGGGTGTGCGAAAGAGGGCCACCTGGCTGCCGATGGAAGCTTACGCTTTGGGTAAGTGATCTGTTTCAGTTTACCTATGTAAGAGCATATCACAAGGAGTGCAAGGCTAAACTTTGAGGACTGAGAGAAGCACAGCTGGCAAGATCAAGCAGGTTGCATCTCCATGCAAGCCCCCACAGCCCCATCATGCCCCACCAGTTCTGCAATGTTCTGCAGCACGTGCGCAAGCCGATCCTGTGATGCATCGTCAATCACCGAAGGCCTTGTAACACACGTTCGCAGAAATGCATTCGTCGGATCTATTTCCCTCGCGCAGCCCGCCAATGAATTGGACCAAGTTTTTCCTGGAGACAGCTTGGTGGGCTGGGCCTCTCCGACATATGTGCTAAGGATGCGAGGATACTGTGCGAAAGCAGCTTCACTCGCAAGCACTTCTGTGTAACGCGACGATTCCAAACTCGGGAAGGGACGATTATCAGCCGCTTTGGGCGTGATGTATCCCGGAGCCTTCCGCGAGAATGGCAACGCTTCACGTCAAACGG